ATTCTTTGTTATTCATCAAAAACATTATAAAAGTAATTGACTACCATGCTAAATAAGATTATTTTTATAATTTTTTATACTTTTAAAACAATTTATCTATAATTAATACGTAAAATGAAATAAGCAACATCATTAAAAATATTTTCTCCTGTTATCCATTTCTCTAATGCATTTTCCGGAGTTTCCCTATAAATTCCGTCCCGGAAACATGGAAATTTTAGGAGTTTCCAAATAATGGATAACTTACAAATTGTAAGTTACAATTCTACATACAATGATTATTTATTTTACAAAGTTAACAACATTTTAATTTTGTAATACAAAATTGTTGGAATTTTAACTATGTAAAGTGGCTGAAACTTTTGAGCTTCTTTTAAACTTCATGAAATGAATATTAACATTAATATCACTACTTTTTACGTCAATAATACTGTAGGCATAATTCGTGCATAAGTTTAGTGTTTCATTGAAAAGAGGTGTTCAATGAATTTACAATTCACTTCTCATTCAATATTCTTTGCATACAATTTCAACACATTATCATTCATTCATAAATAACATGACATTACATAATGAACGGCCCCTTTGTATGCATCTAAGGGCTCAGATTTGACAATCAATGCATTGAATACAAGTATCACTTCAAGTGATGTCACGTAATAATCGTATTGAGAGTTAAAGTGAGTGATTGGAGAGTGAGTTGAGAGTCACGTGAATGCCATCATATCTTTCATGTGATGATCACATGTTAAGCATTGAGATCATAGGCTCGACACCAATCAAATGCAGTGAAATGCATGCAAACGCGTATTCGTGTTAACTGCTTGTGAGCGCACACAATGTACTACGAAATGGTGTGTGGATGTAGTGGTTGTGGATCATTAGTAATGCACGTTTCGGGGCGTCAGTGCTTTGGTGTTGTCGTGAGCGGTGCTGTGTTGGTGTGATTGGGTGTGTGAGAGGGGAGTGTGTGTAGAGAGTGGAGAGTGTGGACACTGTGTTGAGTGCCTGACAACAGACACACCCAATGCCTAATATAAGGCATCGATTGCTTTCACCACAGCTTTTACTATATTTTTATTTCATTAGACATACAGTCAGTCGTTGTCTTGTATTTGAGAATTGCATTGAAAACTGAATCGAAATTAAATGAAAAGAGAAAACTGAATGCAAATGAGAGCCGAATATTGAATATTAAATATAATAAATAGATTAAAATGGCTTTAAATAGAAGTGAAAGTATCGGTGATTACTCTCCTCCACAAAGTCCTGCATTGAGTCATAGCCTAAGCTATACTGATGTGAGTATCCATTGTATCCAATGAGATAACCATTGAATCCATAATCCATTTGTCCATAACTGGTCACAAACCATAACTATATGACTATAACTGTAACCATAACTATATTATATGATTACCATTAATACGATTAATATAATTATTATCATCAATTCATACAACACTAGTCTTATAGACAAATATAAGTTATATTTGAGAAGAGCTTTGAAATGTATCGCTAATTATGAACACAAGTGTTGAATAAACCAATTGTAACCCTATTTTAAACTTTTTTAGTATAAGTTTAAAAAAGTTTAGAAAAGTTTTCAAAATTGAACAGTAATTGACTGAACAGTGAATGTTTCACTCCTTCACTGTTCGTCTCATGCCTTCAATTGTCATAAATAACGTCAACACAAGTGGACAAACATATGACACAACTTGTGATTGTGTTGTCTATTGTGTTGATTGCAAGTCATGTCAAAACAGAGTGTAGAGTGAATGCAATGAATACAAGACTACCATTGATTTGATTGCCTATTGGTTGAGCCAACGGTCGCAAACATGTGGCCATACATTATTAGATTCAATGCGAGAGCTCTTCTCGTGTTAACCTTAATGTTTGGATCAGTGATAGTCTTCTGGTATTATCTGTTGATGGGATCAAAAGACAAACTCATGTCCAACGTATGGATCGCTTCCGCAAATGTGGATCTGAAGAAACTATTAATAGGTATGAATTGAATGGCTATTACTGTTATAATTGATGACTAATGGAGTAATGATATGATGTGATGGACAGCGAGTGTAATGGTTGCGGTCGGCGGCGGACAAGAAGTGGTGAGAGTTCTCAACAATAATGCACTCAATATGAAAAGCAAAGGCAAAACGAGGGAAGGAGTAAACGATGTCTTAACTCAAGGTTTGTTTCGATGAACACCAGAAAGAGTCGATGATTGAGAAGATATATCGATAATTAGGAGATTTGGCGTCACATCGACTTATGGTTCACTCGCTTTCGGCCGCATTTCCTGGCCTTAGGATCATATCGGAAGAGCACTCGTCCGTTGAGGACAACACGCTTGAGATATCGGCGCTTCACGTGACCGATGAAATGCTCGACGACGAGAGGTATTCAGCGCTACCGTTGGGTCTGGAGATACCATTGGGTGAACTGACTGTTTGGGTCGATCCACTCGACGCCACCAAAGAATATTCTGAAGGTCTGACACAATACGTGACAACAATGGTGTGCATCGCTAGGAATGGCGAGCCTATCATTGGTGTCATTCATAAGCCGTTTAGTTCCCAAACGTATTGGTCGTGGAAAGGGAACGGATTGTCAAATAATATCAGAACTGCTCTCAAAACTATTAGCAAAACTAATGATACATTTCGTGCGATAGTCTCTCGATCTCATGCCGGAGACGTTCATGAGATGATCACAAAGTCATTAAGTAGTGAATATAACAATATTAAAGTGATTCCTGCGGCCGGTTCTGGCTATAAGACAATTGAGTTAATCGAAGGCAGAGCTGAGGCATACATTCACACCACTGTTATTAAGAAATGGGATACCTGTGCCCCCAATGCTCTCCTCAACTCTATAGACAACGCTATGATGACTGAAATGAATGGAAATATTATCAAATATAACTATGAAGACGAAGAGATCAACGAAAACGGATTGTTGGCCACCGTTCGTGAAGATCACGAGAAACTCGTAAAGTTGTTTCAAAACGTCAAACAATAGTTTACTGACGATTAAAGGGAATTACAGATACTTTTAGAGATCGTCTCAAAAGTGGATCATTGCTATAAATCTTGACATCATTTGAGTGAACATTATTTGTACATAATTTTAAACATTTCGATGACTTTTACATCGATTTTTTGAAAAATGAATAAATTGAACGAATAATTTAGAAACTCTTAAATCATAAATAATGTAGCGGTGGATGTGATGGGAACCGGAGATATGTTGGTTACGGTGTTGGCCAACATGGGGTTCACTGACGGCCTTATGTTTAGTTCAATCACTTTGCGTTTGTTATCTGCGGCCAAATGTCTTTTCACGTGTTTAGTCAAGTGATCGCTTCTCATGAATCTGCGCTCACAGACAGAGCAGACAAACTTCTTCTCTCCCGTATGCGTGCGCTTATGTCGAGACAACTCATCAGATCTGGAGAACTGTCGACCGCATGATTCCCATAAGCAAACGAATGGCTTCTCTCCTATTATAAGACCAATTGGTTAGAAATCAATTGTAATGCAATGCAAACCATAAGTGCGAACCCGTATGTGTTCTGATGTGGGCCTTCAAGTGGGAACTCTTGTAATAAGTTTTGCTACAATTCTCATAATTGCATTCATAGGTTCGCCTCCGATCGAGTGCAGGCTTTTTGCTAACATTTTGAGTAACCATTGGTACAAATGGTGTTACAGGTGTCTGAAATGATGGCACACTCGACGTTAATATATACGACTGACCACTAGTGTGCCTATCGTTCAGATTTGTAGTGGGGTTTGTGAGGGGTAGGGAAGGACCCGATGTTAGAACTAATTGCACGACTCCGGGAGGGATTGGTATGACTGTAGTGTTTGGCTGTGAAATAGTCTGTATTTGGTTGTGAGTGGAAATGGATGTGAGAAACAGCGTCTGCGGAAGTTTTGGTACAATTTGTGCATTAGTTCCGCAAAATGGGCCAAACGTTGAACACTTGTCTGGAGTCGGTCTCAATACAGAATAGGTTGGCCTCAAAGCACTCGATTTGATTGGTTTTGTGCGTGAATTGGTTGCGATAATTGAGGAACGATTTTGAGACAAACCATTAGATACTGAAGAGTTAGACAATTGTTTGGCTGAGTGTTTAGGAATAGGAGGCGCTCTCATTATGACCGGAACCGGAAATGATGTCGGATTTGTGCGTTTGGGAGTGAGAGGTGGGGTTGGGGTCAGTAAGAGCTGAAGAGGCAATTAATGGCAAATTATTAATAATTGATAAAAATATGGTAATTGTGGCAAAAGAAAGGGTAAATATATACAAACCCGGGCCAACTCTGAACTGCTTTTATGGCTATTAGTATGAGATAAGACACAACTGTCGACAGAATTAGAGTCGAATTCATCTTCAGATTGAGGAGGAGTTCCCAAGTTATCGGTCACTAAATGGGAACAATGTTTTGCTTTAGGAGACACTTGACTGCATTGATTGGACAGTTGGCCGATCGAGAGCAGAGTCTCGACCGCTTCGTTCAGGTCTTCATTGCATTTCTTCAAGTCATGAGTCGAAAGGTTTGTGTCCTGTAATTAAAATTGATGGAAAGGGAAAACCCTTTGTTTAAAACATTTGTTTAAAATCAATATAAATTTTATTATTTGTCACATTTTGTAAAATAAGTTTTGCTGTAAAACAAAATTTAAGTAATTCTTTGTGAATGACGTGAATATAATTATCAATAGTTTATATCATTTATTTGTAAATACTTTAACGGATATAACAAGAGTTAGTGAAGAGGGGGAAGAGTCCACACAAACAGCACTTGAAGAGCACTGGTATTTATAACACCCGTAAAGGACTCGTAAATACTGATTACAAATCATCACAAAAAATTGATAATTTTCTCGTGACTTGTATTACATTAACCGTAATATGAATTGAATCATAAAATAGGCATTTCTTTGTGACACAAGTAATCATACATTTTATTATAGTTTTGTTGTTTTCAACAAAATTTATTGCATTTTCAGGCATTAATTTCTTACCAGAATTGTGTTCAACACAACACTCTTTCCTTACATTACACATGAATTAATAAATGATATTCAATACAATGTATTCAATACAAACCCACAATTATTCTGCATTTGATTCAATGCAAATCCAAATGACATTTCATTGAATAGTCATTTAGTGAATGCAATTTCAAGTTTGAGTGCAAATCGTTTTATAACTCAATAATCATTTTATTTGCAATCATTCAATGGTTTTTCATTTATAAACTATAACTTAAATAAATCTAATATTAATGATAATAATATATATAAATCATTAATTAATTAATTATACGATATATTAAACCTAGAAATGGCTGTAAAAGAAATGATGGATCAAAAAAAGAGACAATAGAGTCAAATGATAATTATATTAATCGTATTAATGGTAATCATATAATATAGTTATGGTTACAGTTATAGTCATATAGTTATGGTTTGTGACCAGTTATGGACAAATGGATTATGGATTCAATGGTTATCTCATTGGATATTCAATACAATGGATACTCACATCAGTATAGCTTAGGCTATGACTCAATGCAGGACTTTGTGGAGGAGAGTAATCACCGATAGTTTCACTTCTATTTAAAGCCATTTTAATCTATTTATTATATTTAATATTCAATATTCGGCTCTCATTTGCATTCAGTTTTCTCTTTTCATTTAATTTCAATTCAGTTTTCAATGCAATTCTCAATACAAGACAACGACTGACTGTATGTCTAATGAAATGAAAATATAGTAAAAGCTGTGGTGAAAGCAATCGATGCCTTATATTAGGCATTGGGTGTGTCTGTTGTCAGGCACTCAACACAGTGTGTCTACACTCTCCACACTCACACTCCCCTCTCACACACCCAATCACACCAACACAGCACCACTCACCACAACACCAAAGCACTGACGCCCCGAAACGTGCATTACTAATGATCCACAACCACTACATCCACACACCATTTCGTAGTACATTGTGTGCGCTCACAAGCAGTTAACACGAATACGCGTTTGCATGCATTTCACTGCATTTGATTGGTGTCGAGCCTATGATCTCAATGCTTAACATGTGATCATCACATGAAAGATATGATGGCATTCACGTGACTCTCAACTCACTCTCCAATCACTCACTTTAAATGCATGCATTTCACTGCATTTGATTGGTGTCGAGCCTATGATCTCAATGCTTAACATGTGATCATCACATGAAAGATATGATGGCATTCACGTGACTCTCAACTCACTCTCCAATCACTCACTTTAATTCTCAATACGATTATTACGTGACATCACTTCAAGTGATACTTGTATTACTTTTTCAGCGAAACTTAACAATCGAGACCTCTACACTTAGCACTGTTTGTTCTACGGATGTTTTAATAATAGTGTTGTAAAGTTACAAACAATTCTTAATTATAAATTGACAATTATATATAATTAAGTTTAATTTTACAAATAAATTATTATTTAATAAATTAATAATGATAAATATAAAAGTTTTATGTTCTTAAGTAAGCATAAGTAGTGAAATTTACAAGATAAGTCATTATTTAATTTAACACTAGGGCCGCCATTGGATTGTTAAGATTCATTGGAATTATAATATTCAATGCATTGATTGTCAAATCTGAGCCCTTAGATGCATACAAAGGGGCCGTTCATTATGTAATGTCATGTTATTTATGAATGAATGATAATGTGTTGAAATTGTATGCAAAGAATATTGAATG